ATATCTCTCAACCTTATGACAATGTGGCTTTCCCAAACTGTTGTGCAATTAACATAACACCAGTAATTATAACTATAGAACCTCTGTTTTACAGATTCTATCTGTCCTTCATGATCTTGTGTAGTTCCAAGAAAGGATTCCCATACTCTGAAAATATTTCCCCTAATGTTCCAAAAATATATAAAAATCATTTCAATAAGGTCAAAGCCATTTATTCTATATGTAATAAGGTTTATAATACACATGTTCTGGAATATTTCCAGTAAGGCATTAAAAGTAACATTCTGTGTTATGACTAATGGTGATCAGAACTTTTCTGAAAAGGACTCTAGATTCCTACACCAGAGTAGCCCAGATCTGACACATCTCTCTCAGATCAATTTCCGACTGGTTCATGTTGGATAATCTGGACATGATCTGAGAAGCCAAAAATATAAATGACAGAGAGCAGGGAGCTCCCAGGCCTGTGCCCTTGTAGACTTTTTCCTAGTGAAACACGTGGCCTATCACCCACCTCCTTCTCCTAGGCTTTATATCCAGAGGGTAAAAGGCAAACAAAAGTCTGAGACATTCTCTGAATTAACTTCTGTTAGCACACCCAAAATGTCCAAATTTGCATCAAGTAGAAGTATAATGTCCATCTTTCATTAGCAATGTACATAAAACCAAACTAAGGGCCAGGGATTTAGCTCAGTGGTTTGGTGGCCTGCCTTGCAAGCGCAAGGACCCAAGTTCAATCCCCGGTACCAAAAAAAAAAAAATAAAATAAAACCAAACTTTCAGAAGATGTCTGAGAGAAATACAAAAAATAGATTTAGTTGAATATTGGAGCACCAACCATATTGAACCCATGGAATACAGATGCCAAACACATAAACTGACACTAAGAAAACTACAAAGAAAGGCACTGACATCAAATGTTGTAATTTTTCTTTTTAAAATTCAACTTTTCACCCTCTTTTCTAAGAATATTCTAGAAATGTGGCCTACCCTTAAAAACCGTTGTGCCTCAGACAGGTCTCATGTAATGTGTTAGTCAACTTTTCATCACTGTGACAAAATACTTAAGAACAACTTAGAGAAGAGGAACTCTTAAAGAAGAGGAGAGATTTATTTTGACCTCATAGTTTCAGTTGTTTCCAGTCCACGGTTGGCCAAAGTCATTGCTCTAGGCCTGTGATGAGGCAGAAACATCACGGCAGAATAGCAAGAGAGGAGACAGCTGCTCACCTCATCGCAGCCAGGAAGCAGAAAGAGAGGAAAAAGCTAGAAAGGAAGAGACCAGGGACCAGACGTAGTCCCCAAAGTCATGCTCTCGTAATCTCCTTCCTTCAGTGAGGCCCTACCTCAACCTTTTAATCCATTAATGATGTTAGAGACCTAACCGTCTGATCACTTTTGAGAGGACCAACAGTAAGCAAAACTTTAACATAGGGTTGGGGTCATATTATCCCAACCAAAATATATATCCTCGGTACTGAGATTGTTTATAAAGCAGTGACGGTGCCGGTTCATAGTTGGAATTTAAATTGTGCTTACTTAGCAAATTAGTAGGAACAACTCTGTTGCTCTCCAGATTTTGGGGGGTTGGTTTAGTGGGCTTTGTTTTTATTATAATAATTAGTACATATTAATTGTGCACATACTCGGTTACAGTACGACATTTCCACGCATGTATACAATATGCTTTGACCATATCCACCCTCCCTATCACCTGCTTCCCTTCCTCCTTCTCCTTGGTCCCCTCCCTTCCTTTTCTCTAATAATATGTTCATTTGTTTAAACTGGTCCAGAAAATCCAAAATCCACTGTGTTAGAGGACAGAAGAGTTGATGCAGTATACTTAGGCTGCCAGATGAAGTACAGGAGGGCCAATTAAATTTAATCTTTTGCCCATGGTAATTACTTATTTTTTAAATATTTACTGGCCAATAAAAATGCATATATTCAAAATGCATAATGTGATAATTTAATATATGTGTATATTCTCTATCACAAGACAATTAATACATGCATCACCCCCCCATAGTCAATTAGTGTGTGTGTGTGTGTGTGTGTGTGTGTGTGTGTGTGTGTGTGTGTACACTAAGGACAAAAAATCTTCTATCATCAAATTTCAAGTATATAATACATTACTACTAACTATAGTCACCATGCTATATATTAGGTTCCCAGAATTTAACTCATCTTACAGCTGAAAATTTGTATCCTTTGAACAATATCTCCCCATCGCCTCCACTACTCTGGCTCCTGGAAACCACTGTTCTCTTGGCATCTCCAACTCAGACTTTCCTAGATTATACACACAAATAAGATCATACAGTATTTGTCTTCTGCAGCTGAAATATTTTTCTTTGTACAAGGTCCTCCAGTTTCAAACACACTGTCACAGATGGCAGGATTTCCTTCTTTTTAAGGGATGAATAATATTCCATTGTAGGGGTGAAACCTCATTTTCTCCATCTATTCATCTCCTGAGATGAATAACTTGAGTTGCTCCCATCCCTAGGCTATTGTGAATAACACTGCTATGAATATGAGTGTACAAATATCTCTTTCAGCTTCAATTCTTCTGGCTTTAGACCTGCAGACCCAGCTGGTGGTTTCATAGCAGCTGCATCATTTTCATTCACACCAATAGTGTACAAGGGCTCTGCTTTCTCCACAACCTCAGCCACGCACTGGTCTCTGTTCTGCTCACATCCTAATGGGTGTGAATTAGCATTGCAGTGTGGTTTCCGCTGCATCTCCCAGATGACCAGCTATCTGCATAATATCATGCGCTTATTGGCCATCACTATATCCACCGTGGTAAATGTCCGTTTCTAGTCTTTTGCCTTAAGTATGAATTTCAAATAAACAATGAGTTATGTTGGCTTATAGATCTCCTACAATACTGAGAATGTATTAAGAACAACCTCTTGTTTGTCTAAAATTCAATTTTAACTGAATGTCCTGTGTTTTTATTTGATAAGTCTAGCAAGATCAGAAAATGAGAACTCTGATGGCTCTTAAAACAATCTTTAAATATTTCACAATTGTGCTAAGATGAGCTCTGAAAGAGTTTAGGGTATTTTTGTGGGTGTTTGGCTGGTAGCCTTGCTTTATTAAAAAATTGTAATTTCATTTTGAGGTTTTCCAGACTAAATCATTTGAGCTTCACACTCTTTGTGTAACAGTATTGGACTCCCTTAATGAAATTATAACTCAAGCAAGATATTTCATTCTCTTGTAGTAAATTAGCTAGGGCTGGGAGAGTTCCGGGAGTGCAAATCCTTCCCCGGGTTTATTCTTCTTGTTTGGTAGAATGAAGAAGGAGCGGGCATTTTATATTTGAGTTATTTATTGTTCTCTTTGTGTGAACATTATATTGCTGCCTGTCCCTATTGGAAACAACAGCTGTTAACAGGCTCCTGAATGAATTTCAATGTGAACTCCATTGGCCTCTGGAAAGCTGGGCTAAAGAGAAAACATGCTCAGCTGCAGAAGAAAAAGAGCAAGTTGCAGGCTGGGTCTGGATGCCTGAAGGCCAAGGGCATATAAAAGTACTAGCGAGCATTTTCATGAGACATCACGCTTAGAACAACGCATACAATGCCAAAGTATAAACTGCAAAGCAGCTAAGTTCTTAAGGGCCAATGCCCTCTGCAACATAAAAAATAGGAGACAGATGTGGCGCATAGAAGTAACCCCAGAATTCTGGGAGGTTGAGGCAGGAGGATCACAAGTTTGAGCTCAGCATAGGTAATTTAGTGAGTTAGTAAGGCCCTGCCTCAAAATAAAACAAAAGAAAAAGAAAAAGGCTGGAGTCCAACTCAGTATGAAGCCCCTGAGTTCAATACCAGTACCAACAAACAAACAACAGCAACAAACAATATAAACATTGATTCTGTTGTAAGTCAGTACTGCACGGGATAGGCAGTGGTACCATTTCCATCTATAGCTTTTTAGTAAATGTGCTGAAGATTCACACTGAAACTCAGAATCGTGCAGACTTGATGGGGATCAGTGTGCAGATGGGAGTTCTGGAATACAGGGGCCTCCAGGATCGGTACCTTGGGTAGGTTCAATATTAGGGAAAAAAGTTCTACGTGGACAAAGAATCCCAACTGCTGCCATTTAATGTAATCACAAAAATCTTTGAACATAAAGAACTTGAAATTTGGCTTCCTCCCTTGATCTCTTTCTTCCTCCCAATAGTTCCTGCAACTGTTTAAGGAGAAATTGCTGAGGCCACAGGGAAAAAACATTGCATTGGTATCAGGTGGCACTTCACACTTTGGTCCATTTTCCCAACTAATTTCCCAGCTGGCCCCTGAACAGGATACCCTGCCAGCCTCACCTCTGCTTCCTTGGTGACCAGGGCTGTGGACAGAGGGCAGTCCTTGGAACTGTGTCAGTTACACTTGCCTACTTCCAAAAAGTACCATCCGGGCCTTCTGTACCATGCTGGCCTTACTCCCTTCTCTCCTCTCCGTACTTCTGTTCTAACACCCCTGACATAGCTACCATTTCGATAAGCTCGTTTTCTCTTTCATGCATTTCAAGCCCACAAAGCAAATTCTCCACCAAGGAGGACAAGAGTTTTGGCTTTATTTTCACAATTCTCTGTTGGCTATGGAATTGCTTTACTTGTGTTACCTCTGGGACACAACTTTGATATGGTGGCTCAGGTCCACCACCACCCTCCTCGGTACACAGAAGCACAGTTGCAACCCAGAAAACGATCACACAGACTTTGGGGGGCACAAAACCAGAGGAGGAAAGATACCAAACTAACAGAAGAAAGATGGAAATTGTAAAGTTAAAATTGAATGGAGAGGAATTTGATAAAATACTGTCAGAAATTCAATAAGAGACTGAGCCAGAATGAAGCGTCTGAAAGCAAAATGACCTTTCCACCTCCCCTGTCCAACCCCTCAGTAATAAGAACATATGAGAGCACTGAGTTTTGCTGAAACGCGATGTCAAAAGCACATTTCCTGTTCTTTTCCTTCCAGACAAAGTCAGCATACTGTCAACCTTCCTGGCTCCCTTCAAGTACCTAAGTCCTGGCACCACAAACACGGAGGACGAAGACAATCTGAGTAAGCAGCTCCCTTTCCCTAAAGTGTGGAGAAGTCCCCACTGGATATGGGAGGTGTATGCCACTGTCCCCAAAGGCTGAGGCCTGGGGCATGGGGAGGGCCTGTATGCTCTTCCCTGAAGCAGGAGATTCCAGGAAATTCGTCCCTCTCTGCAGGCCTCCTCTTATGCAGTCCCATATTCACCTGGCATCCCATTCTCACCCGGGCACCATTGTCATCTGAAATCTCATCTGTGCCCAGATTCCTGTCCTCTCTCGCAGTCCTATTCTCTGAGCAACACCAAACTCAGGGTCCCATCCCACCTAGAATCCCACCTTCACTTGGAGCCCACCCCCCTCTGCACTTCAATCTTTGTCCGGATGGCGAGCTGCACCTCCAGTCCATCTGCAACTGGAGACCCATCTTCTCGTGAAATCTTCTTTGTACCTGGAATTCATTCTAGTTGCACCTGCAGCCCCTCCCTTACCTGAAATCCCATCCTCAGTCGCAGCCCCTCCTTTACATAACATCCTCACCTCCAGGTCTGTCCTCAACTGAAATCTCATCCTCACCTGAAGCTTCATGTTTCACCAGGAATCCCACCCTCCCTTACAGTCCCACCCTCAACTGGAATTTCATCCTCGCCTGAAATTCATCCATGCTTACCTTAGAGACAAGAAATCATTACTAATATCTGTATGACTTAGAACTCCGGGAATTACAGAAAATAAACCAGATGTCTTAGACCACCCACTCCTCCATTTCCTTAGTTGTTTTCTTCAAACAAAAACATAAACGAAGGAAAATGATTGTAGTGTCTTAGAACATGGTTTGTACGACTGTTAGCAAGGAAGGCGCTGGACTGGAGCTTCCCTTTCAGAACATTTCTGGCGTATGAAACTGGAGAGAAGTCAAACGAACATCATCAGGATACCCAATCTTCAACAGAGCTGGCTTAAGGAAGGGACCTGAGCAATCATTTCTGTCCAGATCAATAAACAGAACTCAGAGTAGATACTGCTAGAGAATACATGCGAGAAAGAGAAAGTTGTGGGGAGGGAGAGAGAGAGAGAAAGAGAAAATCCTGGGAATACTTGTCCTTTTCTGGTGGCATACTGTCAAGCATTTAAAAGAGGGGAGAAAACATTCCAAGTCATATGAACACCACTTTGCATTTTAATATCACCTAACAGATGGGCGCCTTTTTCAACTAGAATGAGCTAAGAACGTGCTTGTTGTCCCAAGACAGGGAGGAAGCAAGGTATTTATTGAGGGCTGCTAACACTATTGATCTTGTTGGGTGGACCAAAAATAAACAGTGGCAGAGATTTCTTCAAGAATGTTGTCCATTTTGCTATCAGCTTCCAAGAGTCACAAAACATCAACATAGACAACACTTCTCTAAACAGTGTGATCACTAATACTATGGAAACTGAAGTTAGTTCCCTGGATTGCTCTACCAAGGCCAAGTTATAGAGCCATCAAAAGACAGAACCCAGGCCAGGGATTTAGCTCAGCGGTTTGGTGGCCTGCCTTGTAAGCGCGAGGACCCGAGTTCAATCCCCGGTACCAAAAAAGAAAAAAAAAAGTTAGAACCCAAGCAGATATTTGTGATCCTTTTCCTGGATCCCTTCATTTTCTAGAGGAGCAGTAAAAGGGTAGCAAACAGGAGAAGGAACCTACTGGAACCAGACAAGGGGTTTGGTAGGTTGGTTGGTTAGTTGATCAGTTGGTCGGTCGGTTGGTTAGTTTTTGACAATGCTAGGAATGGAACCCAGAGCCTTGAACCTGCTAGGCAAGTGCTTTACCTAAGCCCAAGACAATTCTCCTGACTCTGACTTCAGGGCTCATTCCTAGGCAAGGTTTGTGGGCTGAAACAAAACCTTAATAAATGATTGTGCCTTTTCTTACATGATCTAAATTGGAAAATTTCCTATCAATTCATTGCTAGTTACTTCAGAAACTTTGAGGTGAGAAAGAGAGAGAGTAATTAAGGCACGTACAGAATTTGACATGTGGAAAATGATATCCGAGAAGACACTTTCCCTCTTTCCCAATGGGAGCTGCTGAAATCCTGGCTAAATCTCATCTGTCTTGGGAGGAAAAGAAATAAAAGAGTTAGAAAGACCCAGAGAATTCAGGAGGAATAGAACAAAGTATTTTTTCACTTACCGAAAATGCGCTAGCTACCTTTCTATAGGGAGCAGAGGCCCAAGGCCATGAGAAATATGTGGTCCAAGCACATGAAAGGTTACTGCTCTGTCCTGAGGGTGATGAGTCACACCCCTTGAAGAAGCTTCTGTCCCTTCCCCTTGGGCAGCACATGGACTGGCACAGTTGTCAGAATCCTCGTGTGGGGTCAAGGCTCCCTGCACGCTCTCCCCCGGATCTGCTGACCACCTAAACTTCATCAAAGACCCACCTCTCAGAGCTCCCTGCCTTCTTTGTAAGACAGGGAGAGTCAACAGCCTAAATTGGGGAGTGAGGACCTTCACGATTAGCTAATACATGTGCGTAATCAATGTAACACATATACATAAAGAAAGCTAGTTTCCCCTAATTCAGTTAACTGATTCATGGGTAGAAACTTACAGATAAAAATAGCTTAACTGTTTATTATATGTTAAAATGCTTTGAAATGTTTAGGAAACTTCAATGGATTCCTTCTACCCCTTTGAATAGATAATGGTTAATTTATTTAGAAAACTCAATTTTCATAGATTATTTGAAGACAAACCTCCAAATTAACTGGGACCTGCTAGATGGTCCCCACCAAGTATTGCTAATGAGATCTGACCAATGTGCTACCAAATGCCATCAGAGTTGTGCGCATGTGTGATATGTGCTGGTGGTTATGTGTAATAAGAGTTTGGTGTGTGTGTCTGTGGTATGTGTTTAATGTGCATATGTGCGTATGTTTGTGTGATACGTGTAAATGTGTGTAAATGTGTGATGGTGCCATCTGTGTAGTTTGTATGTGTACATATGTGTGAGTATATGGAGTATGTCCTATGTGTGTAAAAGGTATGTGGGGATGTCTGTGTCTGTGGTGTGTGTATGGTTTGTGTGGTAAGTATATTTGCTCATGTTTGTGTGATATGTACTTGAGTGGGTGGTGTGTAGTATCCGTGCATGTGTGTTTACTGCGTGTCAATGTATACTGGGTGCTATCTGTGCATGGATGTGTGTGAATGTGTGATTTCTGTGCATATGTGTGGTACATGTGTGTTGTGCATGTGTGAGGTAAATGTGGGAACAAGAGCAGGTAGGAGCCTTGCACACAAGCCTGTGCTACAGTCTCATACCCCACCCATCTTCATGGAGCTGGAATGCCTGGGCCACAGTAACATGGAGACAGCTCACATCCGGCTCATGGTTCCGCCATGTAGGAATTACCCACACTTCCTTGTGGCTGCCTGATCCCCAACCCCAGAACACATCACTGCCTTTGCCTAGAGCCATAAGGACCTTGGTTTAAAGGCCCTGAGCTACCTCAGAAAGAGGTAACCAACACACACACACACAGTGCACACCCACATGTGCTCCATCTGAGGGTACATGGTGTCTAAGAGGTTCCACCTGGAAGGCAGCCATCAGCAGGCTGTGCTTTGGCTCAGAGAAGCCCATACAATACTGTCATTTCTGCCTACCAATGCCCAGATGTTGGGATTTGACCCAGATCCCAGGAGGAGTGGGCTTTTAGGTTGCAAAGCCCACATCTGTGCCTTCGGAGCTGTGGTGGAAGAAGTCTCTTGCCTGCTATTTCTGCCTATTACTAAGTCCTGTACTCACTCAGCCCACCCGCATGGGGCCATGCATGACAAGCACTGTCCTACCAGCAATTTCCAGGATGCTGCTGCCTCCTGAAACCCCAGGCTGAGGCCTCCTGCTCTGCACCATAGCGGATGAGTTTCCTGCTGATGCTTTGTGTACTGTATACCCTCCCTCGTGTTTGAATGGAAGGAAGATCCAGGCCCTGCCATTCTCCTACCACTAGACCCTGCCTTATAGAGGAAGGGTTGCTCTTTTTTGAAAACTGGGTTCATTTGGCAGCAGAATAGCCTTCACCAGGAACAATATTATCTCTTCAAATGTAGCATGGCACATTGGATGGCTGGTTCTCCAGAGCCCTACTGACCCAGACACGGCAGTGTCATTACTAGTGATGCATACAAACCCATAGATGCCAACACAGGACTGGAAGCCAAGCGCACATGATGACCAGGCAGAGGACGCCAGCCTGCATGGGAGCCAGTGGCAGGAAGAACAAACCCACAAGCAAGCATGGCCTTCTGCACATGCATCAGATGGATGATGGCAATGAGACCCCATCCAAAGACCCCAGCCCCACCTGGTGCCTCCACTTTTGAATGACGGAAGCCCAGATCATTAAACTTAATAAGGCCCAAGGAATATATTCTACTCAGAAAATAAAAATTTAGTCACAGCTATGACAATATAAAACGCCACTCTTTCTCCCCAAAATGCAATTCTTTTATGCATTAAACCTTTAAATTTAACATCACACTTGCTGACACTTTTGTCAAATGAGATAATGTACTTATGAGGCTCAGGGGACCAGTCCATTGGTGAGAGAAGCAGAATGGAAATAATTTCATTTCACATTTTTCCAAATAGATGCCTCCCTCACTTAGACATTTTCTTTTAGTGCCTGGCAGTTTTCAAATTGCTGGTGATTGTTCTATTACTTACTGCTGCTGGTGGTATTTATCTAATGTAGTTTGAAGTTATTTGCCTGCTTTTTTTTTTCTAATTTCCACAATGAATGGACACTTGGCACTCTCAGAAAAGATCTTATAAGAAGCACAATTCATGGGTGTCTCCTTTTAAGAAGAGTAGAAGAATGAGGCAATTTACCCAGGTGACAAAGCAGAAGGAAACTGCACGTGAGTGTGGGCACAGGGGATGCCACCCACGTGGTATCACCGGAAGTAGGCTCCCATAGGAAAGGGGTATGAATTTCCAGCTGGGAATTTTCCCAGGGAAAGTCATCATGGTGT